GGGTGATTACTTGAAAAAGCTTTTAAACCGATGGCTACTAGGTGTGTCTAGTGATTGCACGTGACTTACAGAGTAGGTCCCTTGCACTTTCTTCCCCTCTGAAGTCTGATGATAGAAATGGGGTACTTGTGGAGAAGAGCTTTGTGTTGAATGTGACAAATTGATGTAGTACCTTTTATGGGTTTACATGGAGCATTAGATGTACTTGAAGGGAAGGGAAGGGAGATGGTGCCCGTTTACGGAGCAGAGGAATTGGGGGACCTTACTAAAGATCTGCACATGTTCTTTATGTGATGGGAAACGAAGGGAGAGAGAGATTAAAATCCTTGAAGGGGGGAGGGGTGAATGTAGAGGGGAACTTTTGGAAGAAATTGATAGGGTCCAGGTCTATGTCTGAACCATGATTTACTCAAGTAAGAGAAAGGGATGCTTGGTATTAAATTAAAATAATTTTTGAATGAAGTTGGTATTTGATGCGCCCTTCCAACAACAAAAAAGATAGTGCCTTGCCTGAGCACAACCTTTGTATTTCCAGTCAACTACATTAGCAATGTTTTAAACCCATAACACTATTAGGGCTTAGGTCGCTTTAAGGTGTGCTACTGCGACCAAGTCTTTTCAATATATTTTCCAAACCTTAAAGATATCAGAAGTGTTTAGTTTATTGATCTTAAAAACTAAAGAAAACAAAAATCCCAATTTTTGTTCAAGTTAATCCAGAGTGAAAGAGAAAATAAGCAAAAACAGAATAAAGAGAAAACCATCCAAACCAAAGAGATTGTTATTAATTTAGCTGAAGTACATGTAAGAGAACAAAAGTGTAAGGTGCTTGAGACAGCTAGCGTACCAAGCAAGGAACCTCATCTGTGGTAATTGACTGAATTAATGACAAATGACTCTTGAATGATGGCAGCCCTAAGCTACTTTTTATGCTTGGCAGAATAAATAATTCAATTGTACCTTTTGCATCTTTTAAGGAGAAAATCAGACTCTTTCTATCACACCCGTGCAGTGCCTCAAGCCAAGTACTGTCCATGCGTTACCTCATGCTTTATGTTTCGAGCCACACATGGACAATTCGTTGGGACTGACGAAGAATGTTTGTGTATGATTGAAGACGATGTTTGCTCAAATTACGAATGGAAGAATTGATAGATTGTCAGCACTTTATAAAGAAAACTATGATATGTAAACAATATCTTTTCCAAGTAGGAGTAGTAACAAATGTGGAAATTGTACTTGTTGATAGACAAATATTCAATTCAGTTTAATTCAACATATAAAGCGGATTATTTTTGTGTTTACATCATACATGTACATTTATTCTCATGAGACAAAAAACATGGCTAACATTAAATGAATGTATGTGTACACAAATTAATGACAGGATGAACAGAAATAAAGAGAAAGCAGGGGGAATTAATGCGAGGAGGCATTGAAGAAAAGAAGAATAACCTATGTCTGAAAGTGGTGGGTATATGGGAGAACACAAAAGCTTGAGTTAGACTTGAGTTGTCATAATCAACATTCAATACTCGACACACTATTCATCTCATACAATAAGAGATACAAGATATTGACTTATAAATATACTTTAAGGAAAATCATAATATACAGTTACAAATTTGTAGTAATGGCTTTACACGATTGCAAGGACTCAGTTATAAAATACAACTGCTTCTGTTATATAAATAATACTTCTAATTTTGTGATAGCCTTTATGTTAGAGAATGGCAGATAAACATCCCTCTCACTGTAAATCCTGTATCTATTAAAGTAGCTTTTCAGGAGAGCATAATTATGTATTCTGCATGATTTACATGTCCCTTAATAACCTTTTCTTTTTGAATGCCTGGAGTAAGCTCACAGTAGGTTTATGAGCTATGCTTTTAATAAATGCATCATGCACAGGTCCTGGATTCATGCATAATACTAATATGTTTGTACATGTATGAACCTTGCATCAAGCTAAGAAAGAAGGAAAAAACACTCTAGATTCTGCATAACCAAATCTGCTGGAAATCCGTAAGTGCTGAGTATTCTTCTGCGCTGATTACAGCTGAGGAGTTGTTTTTTTCTGCTGCGAATCTCATACATTGACAGTTAGCATTTCAAATCCCACAAAGGGAAGATTGATTTGATACTGTTTCTGGTGCATGGGATATCATTATCAAGGTAACATTAATTCCTGGTGAGCTAGAAAATCCCACCTCTAATGCTTGGATAATTGGCTGCAAATTTGTGTTTTGCAGATGAAGCTTGTAGACATAAGTTACCGAGAATGCTGAAGATGTGATTTTTTTAGAAGATACTGTGTATATATATCTGTGCTGTAAATGCAGTTAAGTTTCAAGGCCTTTCATCCTTAGCTTATCACTGGCTTTTTGATTTATTCAGAAATTGAATTTTCTAGGATTTTTTTTCTTCTTCGGTGCTCCCACTCAATTAACAGCGTGTCCACACACAAAACAATTTATCCCGAAACTCTATAACGATACGTCGTATAAAGAATCATCGTATAAATTCCAGGATGTCCTAGCACACACAAGAAACGTCGTCACTAAAGAATCATCGTATAAAATGCCCCCTGTCCACACACAACATTTTCCGTGATTCTTTATAGAGTTTCGCGATAGTGATAAGAGGTCTGGTCTCATTTCGCTCGAGGTCACGTTAAGCCCCGCCCAGTTAGTTACACTAGTTACACTCCCCCTGTCCACACACAACATTTTCCGTGATTAGGCGTGATTCTTTATCGAGTTTCAGTTCGAAACGATGCCCAAACCTGCGTTTCGTTAGACTAGTTTCGTTATACGACGTATCGTTAGTGAGCGTCCACACCTACAATTTTGGTCGTAAAACTATCGCGAAACGGTATCACTATCGCGAAACGGTATAGCTAATCATGATTAGTCACGGAAAATGTTGTGTGTGGACAGGGGGTAAGAGAGCAGACTTGAGACTAAACAAAAACATGTATTTTCCAAAAATGATAAAGGTTGCTGAAATAAAAGTCGAAAGAAAATATCCTCGGTGTCCCAATTTCAGCAAATTAGATGACCCTTTCTTGAAAGTGCTCGAACCTGGTGTTTCTAATGAGCCAAAAGCATGCCTTTCACTAATCATTGTAACAACAGAAAATTCATAAAGCAAATGTCATTCCAGGGATAATTTCATTTACCAAGTATGCCTTAGAGGAATGATATCCTTATGATGTCCCTTTCTATCTAGGTGCCTTAATTACTTGAGAAGAAAGTAGGGTAATGAGAGGTAGATGGTCCGGAGCTCCATATGTGCCTGTCAGTTTGATTTTGTGTTTGGCTGGAGGCAGCTAGGAGTCAGTAGAAAACATCACTTTGGACAGTCAAGAGAACACAAACATAGAGAGATGGTATTTTGTAAATGCAATAGATGTGTAGTATATCTTTGTTATTTGTACTAGAGATACCTTCTTTACGTAGTTAGTTTGTGATATACAAACTGCATATGTCTGTTTCTTTGGAATTGGGATGTATGGTTATAGAGCATGGCTTCCATTTCTTCACTGTTTAAAAAGCTATTTGGCAGCCTTGTCAGGGTAGTTAGTGAAAGCATGGCCTCAGAAATCAATGTTACACATCCCATTGTTACGCTTTAGAACTCACGAATGCGTTTGAATAAATTCAAGAGTTACCACTCCTTTCTTTCACCTCCCTGCTCTCACCATACGATGGAGTCTAATATCACTGTGATTTGGTCACAGGTGTGAAACAGTTTAATGACAAGCCTGCAAGACACTCCAATTGAAAAACTACAATGATAGAAGCAGGCTGTCCTCCCGAGTCTTACCCCCACCCCTCTTCCGCAAACAAGTCATCTGCCGAGAGCTATAAGGGCACTAACTCCATGGTAACCAATGACATAATGCCCTTCTGGCTCTCTGCTGACGGATCATCCTCCTCCTCCTGCTTGTGTGTAGTATGATATTTAATGTCAAATGGCCACAAGCTATGATTATGCTGGAGACATGAAGTTAATGTTCAAGTTTTCACTGAATGCAACGTTCAGAATAACTCTGTGTATTTTGCATAATAAATTATTTATGAACTTCCTTTTTATGAATAATGTACTCGGGTCTAATAAATCAACTGTAATCAGCAGATGTTTATGGCAGTATGATTGAGCTGAGCTGAACTGAGATCTCTTGTATAGCATGCTCAGACTTTCCCCGTGAATGTCAAATTCTTGTTTATCAGCTCCTTCAGGATAGTTTACAGTAATCAGTCTCCTCTCTGTATTATGACACTTTCATTGACCAATTACATGAGCGATCTTTGAACCATCAGAGTTTTCCTTACTTTTTTCCTATTGTTGTTGTCCTTCATTCATGTCTTATCAATGAAAGAGTAATTCATTCTTTTGAACCAAAGCAGGTGTTGAAGGATACTGAGTGGTCCACAGATGTCATTCTCTCTCATGAAGGATCAACCAATTTTCTTGCTACTTGTCAACTGAACTGATGATGTTTTTGTGTTCTTCATATTTGTTGTCATTGTTTAAATACAAATATATTGTGCACATTATGCATTGGTTAATTTTGTCATAAACATCAGTTAGATCAGTTCATTCGATTTCCAAATCAAGGTTTGATCTCACCATCTGAAAGGTGCATCTCAGGACCGAACCCTAGGTCATTGCATGATAAGAAAAGGTAGCTAACCCCTAGACCAGTCCACCTCCACCTGATACAAGCCAAAGTGACATTCCCATAGTGCACAGCACCTTGGTAACGAGGGCAGCGTTTCACAAAACCGTCAGAAGTACAAGTTCACCGCCATCCTATTGAAACGCGTTTAAAACTCAATACACGCATTTCAATGGGATGTCGGTGAACTTGTACTTATGAGGGTTTTGTGAGACACTGACCTGATGCCTGTCACATTGAACAATGGGTCGTGAACTCAAATGGATTTTTAAAGGAATAACTTTCAATTTATCATCATCTGTTTCTTTTACTTTAGAATCCATCTTGTTCCTATGGTGATAGAAGGAGGTTGGTGCGATGCAGTCCCTATCCTGTTGAGTGTACCTGATCATGATACAAGGGAGAAAATTCTTTTCTCGTTGAACACCCTTCGGTTATTCTGTGATTATTCATCCAACGTTGATTTACAAAGCAGGTAAGACATCAGTTTCAGTAAACCTTGGCCCTGCCTTATAAAGAGTTGTGATTGATCTGAATCAGTTGCAAGTCCTCTGGTCAATAGCAAGTTTGCAGTTTCCTATCTCTTATGTATGTACAGGTAGTTGTAATTGATATTGACTGCTTATAAGATGGAGCCCTGGGGGCGTTTCACAAAACTTGTCATTAGTGACAAATGACATGTTTTTTTTAATAAGCTACTGAAATCCTTGCTTCTGTTTGGTTATCAGCAGATTTGTCACTGATTTTTGTCATTGAAAAAAGACTTTGTGAAACGGGCCCCTGGTCTGCATGTCATCATAGGTTGTCTGTACCAAATAGCACCATAACAATTCATCACAATGTATCATGTACTAACAGTTTGTTTGCATTAGGAAAATCAAGACAGAAGGTTTTTGTTAACTTAAGTTTTCCCACAAACATCCTGATTAAAGAGAAATCCATATTACCTTTTAGAATCAAATCAAACAAAATACTGTACATGGATATAATCAAAACCTATATCTCTGTGTAATTATGCTCTGTATAATGCAGAATTCAAAGGCTCTAGTAGAAACATTATCAGATTTGTGCACTTTAACTCACAGGTAATTTCATAGTTTGCTTGATATGTGTATAATTTCAAGCCTGCTTACTGGTGGGATTCATGGAAAACACATTTTCTTATAATGTTTATTAATTTCTTTTGATACGGTCCTTTGATTTTCCTTTAATATGGTCATACATTACTATTTTAAAGGCCCACTGCACTACTTGTAGCTACTTGCACCCTCTATATAACAAACAATGCCTAATCGGTGACCATTGGTCCCCCATGATCCTCTTTTTCTCATGTTAACTGAGAGCTGAGTTGATGAGATAACCACCTATCCATTGACCTTGCAGGGCAATGTAATCCCTCCTGTAAACTATGGCAGATAAGCTTTAAGCTTTGAGTTATCCATGTTGAGACACCCAAGAAACATTATTACGTTCCAAAATCTATTTCAATTTCTGTTCCTGCAAGTGATATTTTTTGTTAATTCCTGTAGTTTGATTTGTAAGACTCTGAGCCTTGCCAAACTCTGTGTTATCTCTAATCTGTATTGCTTTGATTACAGACTGGAGACCTTGAGGAAGGAGTATGGTAAGCTAGCTGAAGAAGAATCTCTGAATGGTGATGGCGATGACTTCTTTCACTCCTTACATTCAACGGTTGATGGAATTATAAAAGCTATATGAAAATATTTGAGTGGATACTTTATATATATAATTCTATGATCAAATCAAATGTCCATTACTAGAACGCAAGTTAATTTATAGTATTTATGTTTAACAGTAGGAGGCATTGTACTTAAGGCTGAAGATGGTTGAATTGGAGCATCTTTTTCTTGAATTTTTACTATAATAAATGGCTTTACAAATTAACTACTTTGAGATTAAAATGACCTACATTTCAAACATAGCATGCATTAATATTGTTTTCTTTGATTAACATTTCCTTGGTTGTCCAAGGAATCATTAAATGCTGTTGCCAATTTGTTGTTATAAATGATTATATGTCTGCACCTTTAAGAAAACTGAAATTTGATTAAAGTATATTCCTACCGTCAATAGGTTGTTGCCCTTTTTATATTATTTTCTGGGGGATATAATGATTGTTAAATCCACATCAGACTGAACACAAGAAGAAACAAGTTTTATAATGTTTATGTCGTGAAAGATTTTCAAATGAAAGATGAAAGATATGCGTGTAAATTCTGATCGAATGCACTTTGCTTCATAAGTACACATCTATCAAACCTGTACATCAACATCATCTATTGAAAGCAAGAAGGGCATTCACTCTGTAGTTAAGTATACAACTTACTTAATGCCCTTTGGCTCTCATAAGAAATACACCATGTGCTTGTATTGACAGAAACATCTTGGCACAATTAGATAATTTATTTTCAATTTTACCACACTTGTTTATATTCTTCCCTCCCCTTGTTTTTGTTCTCTTTCCTATTTGCACTCTACCTCACATTAGGATATATCTATGTCATTTATCTTCAGCTTGATAGATTTCTTCTGATCCTAACAGATGCCATTTCTCTTTTTTATGTGAAAGTGCAGTGATTTCCACTGTAGTTGAAATATTTACATCTCTTCTAGTAGGATAAATCGAGAACATTTTGTTTTAATGAAATGTGTCAATTCGTTTCCTTTTAAAGCTAGGGTCAGTCTTTTGAAGAAAGGTAGCTTGAAAAAAAAAATCTCCTCCGTGATACACTTTATCTCCAATTCCGATAACTCTGAAAATGTGGAAAGAAAAAGAGAGAGTTTTGAAAATGTCGTTTTAAACTTCTTGTTTACTTCACCCTTGCGTATTAACCACCAAGTGCCTTTTTTAATTTTGTATGCTTCATATACATTTTAATTAATTATTTGTTATACTTTAATATGGATAGGTGATAATGAAAAGGTTTATTGTTTCTATATTATTAGAAGTTTATATTAAGTGCAAATCATTAAAATCTATATTAGACATGACATCTCCTATTTATGTTTTAGAATTGACATATTTATTTGTTCATCTAGTAATGGGCCTGACATTTCCAATTTGTTAAAATGTGTAATTGGAAAAAAATTAGAGCGTATTCATTTTTACTTTCCTTGATAGGAAAGAGAGAGAGGGGGAGATACGAGAAAGGGGAGTGAGAGTGGTTTGGAGCAGAGAAGAGATTAAGAGAGGTGGGCAGGTGAGGAATGGAAAAAGAGGGAAAGAGGAGAGAGTTAAAGAGAAAGAGAGAGGAAGCAAATAACAGATTCAGCAAGGTGGGTAGGTGAGGGATGGAGAGAGAGAGGAGAGAGAGGGGGAGCAGAGAAGAGATTCAGAAAGGTGGGTAGGTGAGGGATGGATGGAGAAAGAGAGGAGAGAGAGGGGGAGCACAGGAGAGATTCAGCAAGGTGGGTAGGTGAGGGATGGAGAGAGAGAGAGAGAGGAGAGAGAGGGGAGCAGAGAAGAGATTCAGCAAGGTGGGTAGGTGAGGGATGGATGGAGAAAGAGAGGAGAGAGAGGGGGAGCAGAGAAGAGATTCAGCAAGGTGGGTAGGTGAGGGATGGATGGAGAGAGAGAGGGGAGCAGAGAAGAGATTCAACAAGGTGGGTAGGTGAGGGATAGATGGAGAAAGAGAGGAGAGAGAGGGGGAGCAGAGAAGAGATTCAGCAAGGTGGGCAGGTGAGGGATAGATGGAGAAAGAGAGGAGAGAGAGAGAGGGGAGCAGAGAAGAGATTCAGCAAGGTGGGTAGGTGAGGGGTGGATGGAGAAAGAGAGGAGAGAGAGGGGGAGCAGAGAAGAGATTCAGCAAGGTGGTAGGTGAGGGATGGATGGAGAGAGAGAGGAGAGAGAGAGAGGGGGAGCAGAGAAGAGATTCAGCAAGGTGGGTAGGTGAGGGGTGGATGGAGAAAGAGAGGAGAGAGAGAGAGGGGAGCAGAGAAGAGATTCAGCAAGGTGGGTAGGTGAGGGATGGATGGAGAGAGAGAGGAGAGAGAGAGAGGGGGAGCAGAGAAGAGATTCAGCAAGGTGGGTAGGTGAGGGGTTGATGGAGAAAGAGAGGAGAGAGAGAGAGAGGGGAGCAGAGAAGAGATTCAGCAAGGTGGGTTGGTGAGGGATGGATGGAGAAAGAGAGGAGAGAGAGAGAGGAGCAGAGAAGAGATTCAGCAAGGTGGGTAGGAGAGGGGTGGATGGAGAAAGAGAGGAGAGAGAGGGGGAGCAGAGAAGAGATTCAGCAAGGTGGGCAGGTGAGGGATGGATGGAGAAAGAGAGGAGAGAGAGGGGAGCAGAGAAGAGATTCAGCAAGGTGGGTAGGAGAGGGGTGGATGGAGAAAGAGAGGAGAGAGAGGGGAGCAGAGAAGAGATTCAGCAAGGTGGGTAGGAGAGGGGTGGATGGAGAAAGAGAGGAGAGAGAGAGAGAGAGGGGAGCAGAGAAGAGATTCAGCAAGGTGGTAGGTGAGGGATGGATGGAGAAAGAGAGGAGAGAGAGGGGGAGCAGAGAAGAGATTCAGCAAGGTGGGCAGGTGAGGGATGGATGGAGAAAGAGAGGAGAGAGAGAGAGAGAGGGGAGCAGAGAAGAGATTCAGCAAGGTGGTAGGTGAGGGATGGATGGAGAAAGAGAGGAGAGAGAGGGGAGCAGAGAAGAGATTCAGCAAGGTGGGTAGGAGAGGGGTGGATGGAGAAAGAGAGGAGAGAGAGGGGAGCAGAGAAGAGATTCAGCAAGGTGGTAGGTGAGGGGTGGATGGAGAAAGAGAGGAGAGAGAGGGGGAGCAGAGAAGAGATTGAGAAAGTTAGGCAGGTGAGGGATGGATAAAGAGAGAGAGACATAAAGAGAAATATATATAGAGAGAGAGAGAGAGAAGAGTTTGCGAGAGGTGGGCAGGTAAGGGATAGAGAACGAGAGAGAGAGGGAGGGGTCTAAGAGATCAGGTGCAAGAGGGACTGTGTCCCATCATGTTTTAATGAATTCCTGAATTATCATGCCTCTTTTCCTTTCTAAGTTAATTTTACACCTTTCCTGCTTGGTGGGCTCTAGAGTATAGAGACATACATGGAGAAATGACAGCTGATCGATGATATATGTTAGCGTATCATGTTCCCAGGAGAGGAGTATGATTAGAAAGAAAATCACGCCTTTTCTTGGCGCCATTTTTTCGATGTACATGTATAAAGAAAGCGCTGCATCTGCCTTATAAGGGAAAATACACGAAGTTCTTTTCCTATTCTTCATTAATTGTTTGTCAAATGTCTAGTTTCCTGTCATTGGTTGATACCCTTCTGTGTTTTTTTTTTTATGGCGGGCGTGATCACTCGAGATTTAAAAAGAGCGAATATACATCAAAGTTTTTGTAAATCAAATTTCTTATCTGTACTCATTGATCTGAGTATCATTTATTTGATTAAAATTTCAAACCTTTTAATCAGATGATTTTTCAGTGGTTCTAGCCATTGAAGCGCTCCTTTTTTTCTTATGTTTCTTTCATTTCGGTCACCAATATTATATCTGCGAACCGAATTTTCCTTTATTTGATTTCAAATTAAATATGGTTCGTGCCGCCGAACATTCCTGTGCTTTAATCTGGACCTTTGAACCTTTGGTATTTGTAATAGAGCACATTTGGAAAATCGAATCTTCAAAAGAATAGACCTTGGAATGATTACCTTTGAAGTAATGAACTATAAGAAAGACGTACCTTGGGGTAAAATAAGCTCTCGGGATCTATCTCCGTCGTGTCCTTGCAACGTGTTCTGATCGAGAGGCCACTTTCACAGGTTGACTCTATATCAAACCGCATACATTCGTGTTCATACATAACTATGCATTCATTATTCTCACCTTTTTATAGTTCTTTAGAGAAAGTTGTTCTTACACCTCATTCAGGTCTCATTTTGTGTAAATATTTCCTGTTTAACTTTTTAACGTTCCTATATCTTGCTTGGAATCTTTTTTTTTAGACGAATAACCACTTGAATATCCTTCTGAAATAGGCAATCGCTATACGCTTATGAATAGTAAACGACCAGTTTTGTGAAGTCGTGGTCAGTTATTGCATTACATTTGCGGTTCCATCTAGCGCATTCTTAAAGAGCAAATTAAAAAAATACGTAGAAAACACACGTACTAGAGAGGAGATGAAAATGGAAATGCTCATAAATGTTACCTCTCGTGAGTTATGAAGAACAATACATGAAGTAGTAGTAGTAGAATGGGTTTTTTTATTAGACAACTTAAAAATGGTGGCCCGAAAGCTAAATTACATTGCAAGTTTTACATGTATTAAAAAGCATTTCAACAAACTTAGATATAGACAAGTACACATCATACACAGTCGGATAGATCATAACTAATTACATATTCCCTACTTGCAAACAAATTGATGAAACAACAAAAAAATGATTCGGCATTATTTTTTTTTCTGTAATCATTGTTAAGTGAGGAATATTCATATTTTAAATATAAATTAGGGCTGATTAATTGAGTTATAACAAGTAAGTACTGAAGATTTGTTTAACAGTACAATATTCGTCAAAGTTTTGTTTGAAAGCTTGCATTTAATCTCTACTTCGTTAATTCCAAAGCTTTCAGCAGACCCAGTCATCCCTATAGTTTTAATGGATACTTAATTTGCGGACAGAAGAGAAAGGAGGGGTGGCGTCACATTCTTGAATCTACTGTGCCCCGCGGATAATGTATCATTATTAATACTTCTTATGTTGCCTAATCTATCACTGTCCTGGAGGCGTTGAACGATTGAACATCATTAGTCACGGGTGAATGTAGGATGGTGATATCACATGGTCATGCTCCTCATGAATCCAAACTCGTTATTTTTCTCAGACTAGCCTTCATTTCACAAAACCGCCACAAGCACAAGTTCGCCGAAATCCCAGTGAAAACGCGTGTATTAAATTCAACGGATTGACAATAATTTCAATGGGATATCGGCGTACGGTTTCGAGAAACCAGGCCCAAACCTGGAGGATGGTTTGGTGAGATAGAGAATAATGAAGCTGTCAGGGCAACGACCTCTATGCGTGCGCCATTCTACTGTCTACATTTTGTTATCAGTGGCGTGGCGTCGGCCCAGACATTGCGGGGTATCAGCGTCATTTGTTTTGTTGATGGAGAGGGAGGGGGAGTGAGGGCACCGGTCTAATTAGGTAAGTATATATATTAAACAGGATCATTGATTAAGGGCTGGATGGGTAGTTGCGCTTAATTTTTTACGTTATCTTTCCCCTCTTCTTTTTTTCACTTGGCTCTTTTTTCCCTTTTCTCCCCCATTTTTGTTTGCAATTTATTGGGAGGGGGAAGGAGGGGGGGGGGGGAGGGGGTGGAAATGTCATTGAAGCTGGATGGCAAATTCTTATTTGAAATTTACAGGAAAAATAAAAAGTGCTTTTCACAGAAAAAACAGATTAATTAGAAAAGCTTCCTGTATAACCTCTTAGTCTGGTGCCTTGATTGCAATTTTCTGAATCGATTAGCACTTGTGAAGACAATTTTGACAATAACGGTTCTGTTTACCGAGGAAAAAAAGAACATCCTCCGTTTTTATGAAACCCCCTTACATAGCCAAAGTTCTTTATCCCGCTGAAAACATTTAGAAACTCGTTACAAATTTAATTGGATATTACCTCTTCACTTTACTCGAGAGCTGAGAGAAAATTAAAGGTTGGCTTTGAAAGATGAATATCTTAAATGAAAATCGTCTCCGATTCAATGGAATAGTCATTCGTTTCAGGATAAGACTCAGATCCCTAGATTTAATTTTTTTTAATGTCTCTTCTGCACGCCAAAGCAAATTAGCTTATTATGTAAGCATTCTATGGTTTTAAGTTTGAAGCCTGCTCCGTCCTCAGTGAGAGCCCGGGAGAAGCAACGGCGGGGGCTATGACCACATTTGCACTCCCAAATAAAAGCGAGAGGTATGGTTTCGCATTTTTAACCTAATGAGACACATAGGCCTAATACCATAGCAACAAGAACCTTTCCTGTTATCAT